GGTCTCGATCTCTTGACCTCGTGATCCACCCGCCTTGGCCTCCCAAAGTGCTGGGATTACAGGCTTGAGCCACCGTGCCTGGCTCATATATTCTTATATATATTTTTTCCCCAGGACAGAGTCTCACTGTCACCCAGGCTGAAGTGCAGTGGCACAAACTCTTCTCACTGCGGCTTCCATCTCCTGGGTTCAAGTGATTCTCCTGCCTCAGCCTCCCATGTAGCTGGGATTATAGGTGAGGACCACCATGCCCAGATAATTTTGTATTTTTAGTAGAGACATGGTTTCACCATGTTGGCCAGGATGGTCTCAAAATCCTGACCTCAGAGTGATCTGCCTGCCTTGGCCTCCCAAAGTGCTGGGATTACAGAGGTGAGTCACCACACCCAGCCAAAGCACAGTATTTTTGCTTATTTCTGTATTTATATACATAGAATATTTTAATATATGCATTTTTTCATGGTCTTTTTTGTTTAACTTAACTGTTTTCCTTTCCTTTTTTTTTGTGATACGGAGTCTCACTATTATTGCTGAAGCTGCAGTGCGCTAAGCCGTTATCAGCTCACCACAACCTCTGACTCCCTAGTTCAAGCATTCTCCTGCCTCAGCCTCCCAGCTCGGATTATACGCATGCACCATCACACCCAGCTCATTTTGTAGTTTTGGTAGAGACAGGGTCTCATCATGTTGGTCAGCCTGGTCTTGAACTCCTGACCTCGGGTGATCCACCCGCCTGGGCAACCCAAAGTGCTGGGATTACAGGTGTGAGCCACCGCTCCAGTCTGTTTTCTTCTTTTTCTTTTGAAGCAAGGTCTCACTCAATCACCTATGATGGAGTGTATTGATATAATCATAGCTCACTGCTGCCTCAAACTTTTAAGGGAGAGGGTGTTGCTATGTTGTACAAGCTGGTCTTGATACCTGGCCTCCAAACAATCCTCCTGCTTTGCCCTCCCAAAGTAAATATTATTGTTTCTATGATTAAAGCACACTGATACACATAATTTTGGAACATTAATTTTTTTTTTTTTTTTTGAGACGGAGTTTCGCTCTTGTTACCCAGGCTGGAGTGCAATGGCGCGATCTTGGCTCACCGCAACCTCCGCCTCCTGGGTTCAGGGAATTCTCCTGCCTCAGCCTCCTGAGTAGCTGGGATTACAGGCACGTGCCACCATACCCAGCTGATTTTTTTGTATTTTTTTTTTTTAGTAGAGATGGGGTTTCACCATGTTGACCAGGATGGTCTCGATCTCTTGACCTCGTGATCCACCCGCCTCGGCCTCCGAAAGTGCTGGGATTACAGGCTTGAGCCACTGCGCCCGGCCTTTTTTTTTTTTTTTTTTTTTTTGAGATAGAGTTTCACTCTTGTTGCCCAGGCTGGAGTGCAATGGTATGGATTTCGGCTCACTGCAACCTCCACCTTCCGGATTCAAGCGATTTTCCTGCCTCAGCCTCCTGAGTAGCTGGGACTACTGGCAGGCACCACCACGCCAGACTAATTTTTTCACTTTTAGTAGACTTGGGGTTTGCCCATATTGGTAAGGCTAGTCTCAAACTCCCGACCTCAGGTGATCCACCCACCTCGGCCTCCCAAAGTGCTGGGATTACAGACATGAGCCACTGTTGCTTAGTATTCCTTTGTAAGAATATACCACAATTTATCTGAAATACCTTTGATGGACATTTAAGTGCCCTATAGGGTTTTTTTTGAGACGGAGTTTCGCTGTTGTTACCCAGACTAGTGTACAATGGCACAACCTCAGCTCACCGCAACCTCCGCCTTCCAGGTTCAAGCAATTCTCCTGCCTCAGCCTCCCGAGTATCTCTTGATCTCATGATCCACCAGCCTCGGCCTCCCAAAGTGCTGGGATTACAGGCGTGAGCCATCACGCCCAGCCGGGATTTTTGTTCGTAGTACAAATGCAGCAATTTTTTGAAGAGTGAAACATGGACACAATTTAAATGTCCATCACCATCAAGAAGGGTTAAATACACACATCTATACCACTCAATTTTAACCAATAAACAATGATAAAAATTTTTTTTCTTCTTTTTTTGAGACAGAGTTTCTTGAGTGCAATGGCGCGATCTCGGCTCACTGCAACCTCTGCCTCCTGGGTTCAGGCGATTCTCCTGCCTCAGCCTCCTGAGTAGCTGGGATTACAGGCACGCGCCACCATGCCCAGCTAATTTTTTGTATTTTTAGTAGAGACGGGGTTTCACCATGTTAACCAGGATGGTCTCGATCGCTTGACCTCTTGATCAACCCGCCTCGGCCTCCCAAAGTGCTGGGATTACAGGCTTGAGCCACCACGCCCAGCTGATTAATACAATTTTTAAGGCATGTTATTAAGTAAAAACTGTATGTTGCCTAACAATCTACATGCTCTCATATATGGTAAAATTTACATATATACTCACAAACACACTCATACATACTTAACTATAAACATATATAAAGAAAATGGTCAGCCAGGCACAGTGGCTCAACGTCTGTTAATCCCAGCACTTTGGGAGGCCAAGGCAGGTGGATCACCTGAAGTCAGGAGTTCAAGACCAGCCTGACCAACATGGTGAAACTCTTATCGCTATTAAAAAAAAAAAAAGAGGCCGGGCGCGGTGGCTCACGCCTGTAATCCCAGCACTTTGGGAGGCCAAGGCGGGTGGATCACGAGGTCAAGAGATCGAGACCATCCTGGTCAACATGGTGAAACCCCGTTTCTACTAAAAATACAAAAAACTAGGGCCGGGCGCGGTGGCTCAAGCCTGTAATCCCAGCACTTTGGGAGGCCGAGGTGGGTAGATCACGAGGTCAAGAGACCAAGACCATCCTGGTCAACATGGTGAAACCCCATCTCTACTAAAGATACAAAAAATTAGCTGGGCATGGTGGCACGTGCCTGTAATCCCAGCTACTAAGGAGGCTGAGGCAGGAGAATTGCCTGAACCCAGGAGGCGGAGGTTGCGGTGAGCCGAGATCGCGCCATTGCACTCCAGCCTGGGTAACAAGAGCGAAACTCCGTCTCAAAAAAAAAAAAAAAAACTAGCTAGGCGTGGTGGTGCGTGCCTGTAATCCCAGCTACTCAGGAGGCTGAGGCAGGAGAATTGCCTGAGCCCAGGAGGCGGAGGTTGTGGTGAGCTGAGATCGCGCCATTGCACTCTAGCCTGGGTAACAAGAACGAAACTCCATCTCAAAAAAAAAAAAAAAAGAAAGAAAAAAAGAAAAAATGGTCTGAAACAATATATGTATATAAAGGATAAAGAAAATAGCCAGGCATAGTGGCTCACACCTGTAATCCCGGCACTTTGGGTGCCAGATTGCTTGAGGTTAGGAGTTTGAGACCAGTCTGGCTAACACGGTGAAAACCATCTCTACTAAAAGCACAAAAATTAGGCTGGGCACAGTGGCTCACGCCTGTAAAACTACCATTTTGGGAGGCCACGGCAGGTAGACCACCAGGTCGAGTCTTAGACCAGCCTGTCCAATATGGTGAAACCCCATCTCGACTGAAAATACAAAAATTAGGTGGATGTGGTGGCAGGCACCTGTAATCCCAGCTACTCGGGGGGCTGAGGCAGAAGAATCGCTTGAACCCAGGAGGTAGAGATCACACCATTGTACACCAGCCTGGGCAACAGGAGTGAAACTCTGTTCTTAAAAAAAAAAAAAAAAAAGAAAAAAAAAATTAGCTGGGCATGGTTGGTGCACGCCTGTAATCCCAGGTACCTGGGAGGTTCAGACAGAGAATCTCTTGAACCTGGAGGTGAAGGCTGCAATAAGCAGAGATCATACCAGTGCACTCCAGCCTGGGGAACAGAGCAAGACTCCGTCCCAAAAAAATAAAAGAAAGAAAAAGAATGGACCTCGGGGGTAGAGAGAAATAATAATGAAAAGATAAAAGAGGATGTACAGAATTTTCCTTTATGATCTTCTGAACTGCCAACTGAAAAGAAAAAAATTCGCTAGGCACGATGGCTCACACCTGTAATCCCAGCACTTTGGGAGGTTGAAGCAGGCAGATCACCTGAGGTCAGAAGTTCGAAACCAGCCTGGCCAACATGGCGAAACCCCTCCCTACTAAAAATACAAAAAATTAGCGAGGCGTGGTGGTCGGCACCTGTAATCCCAGCTACTTGGGAGACTGAGGCAGAAGAATCTGGGAAGCAGAGTTTGCAGTGAGCCGAGATTGTGCCATTGCACTCCAGCCTGGGCAAAAGTGTGAGACTGTCTCAAAAACAAAGAAGAATTGGCCGGGCGCGGTGGCTCAAGCCTGTAATCCCAGCACTTTAGGAGGCCGAGGCGGGTGGATCACAAGGTCAAGAGATCAAGACCATCCTGGTCAACATGGTGAAACCCCGTCTCTACTAAAAATACAAAAAATTAGCTGGGCATGGTGGCACGTGCCTGTAATCCCAGCTACTCAGGAGGCTGAGGCAGGAGAATTGCCTGAACCCAGGAGGCGGAGGTTGCGGTGAGCCGAGATCGCGCCATTGCACTCCAGCCTGTGTAACAAGAGCGAAACTCCGTCTCAAAAAAAAAAAAAAAAAAAAAAAACAAAGAATTAAGGCCAAATGGAGATTAAAATATTAGCTTTATCCAGGAGGATCTCTAAAAATAGACTGAAAAATGCAGCAGGATCTCTTCAACTTTACCATGAATAAAGGGTAAGGCCCTCATTACCGTAAATGAAGACAACTTGGGTCCTCACGACATAACCAAACTCTCTGTCCACCCACCCAGAGGGCTCGACAACATAGACAAAGAAAGAAGAAATGGGACTGTGCTCTGAATATAGTACCCAGCCGATGTCAGCCTCTTAGACTCTTACTACTTTACAAAAAATAGAACAGGAAACAGTAGAGTAGTAGACAGAAACTTTCTTCCCACTATTTCTCCCAAAGGGTAGAAGTAAAATCTCCTGTTTTGTTAAAAACAAAAAAAAAGTTTCCTTCCCCTCTACATCTTTCAATTCTAAAGTTTAATGTAAAGCATAAATTACCAGTCTCTCCATTTTCTGGAGTATCTCGTCCAGTTTTACTAGAACTCCTGCTGGTAGATTCGGGACTGGTAGCTCGAACAAACATCTTCCATTTTCCTCTTTTAGACATAAGCCTACGCATTCCATCTTGAGATGCTGGCTGGCTGACATCAGAACGTGGACTAGACCCTGACACACTACCATCTCCTTCCTCCAAGGCTCGCAACTCTGCCTACAAAGAACATGACAATTAAGTTAGTGTCATTAACTGCTTATCAATATGTCTAAGCAGAATAATAGTCATGACTATGTTGTTGAAATTTAAAACCTTTGAGAACAGGAAGCATTTTTTTCTTTTTTTGAGACGGAGTTTCGCTCTTACTGCCCAGGCTGCAGTGCAATGGCGTGATCTTGGCTAATCGCAACCTCCACCTTCCAGGTTCAAGCAATTCTCCCGCCTTAGCCTCCCAGGTAGCTCAGATTACAGCCATGCACCACCACATCTGGCTAATTTTGTATTTTTAGTAAGACGGAGTTTCTCCAAGTTGGTCATGTTGTTCTCGAACTCCTGAGCTCAGGTAGTCCATCCGCTTCTGCCTCCCAGAGTGCTGGAATTCCATGCGTAAGCCACTGCACCCAGCCAGAAGCAGATATTTATTTTTGGAGACAAGATCTTCCTAGCCGGGCTCGGTGGCTCAAGCCTGTAATCCCAGCACTTTGGGAGGCCGAGGCGGGTGGATCACGAGGTCGAGAGATCGAGACCATCCTGGTCAACATGGTGAAACCCCGTCTCTACTAAAAATACAAAAAATTAGCTGGGCATGGTGGCATGTGCCTGTAATCCCAGCTACTCAGGAGGCTGAGGCAGGAGAATTGCCTGAACCCAGGAGGCGGAGGTTGCGGTGAGCCGAGATCGCGCCATTGCACTCCAGCCTGGGTAACAAGAGCGAAACTCCGCCTCAAAAAAAAAAAAAAAAAAAAGATCTTCCTCTGTTGCCCAGGTTGGAGTGCAGTGGCATGATCATGGCTCACTGCAGCTTCAATCTCCTGAACTCAAGCTATCCTCCCACCTCAGCCTTCCAGGTAGCTGGGACTACAGACACATGTCATCACACGTGTTTTTTCCTTTTTAATAAGACATGATATCTGGATATGTTTCTCACATTGGTCTCAACTGCTGAACTCAAGTGATCTCCTGCTTAGGCTCCCAAAATTTGGGGATTACAGACATGAGCCACTGTACTTGGCCTACTCAAAACAAATTTTTTTTTTAATTTTATAAATTTTTTGGGCTGGGTGCGGTGGCTCACACCTGTAACCCTAGCACTTTGGGAGGCCAAGGTGGGTGGATCACCTGAGGTCAGGAGTTCAAGACCAGCCTGGACGTCATGGTGAAACCCCATCTTTAAAAAAATAAAATAAAATAATTTTTTTGTGGGCACAGAGTAGGTGCATTTATTTATGAGTTGAGATGTTTTGACACAGGCATGCAATGTGAAAAAACACATCATGGAGAATGGGATAACCATCCCCTCAAGCATTTATCCTTTGAATTACAAATAATCCAACTCCATTCTTTAAAGTTATTTTAAAATATACAACTATTATTGACTACAGTCACCCTACTGTGCTATCAAATAGTAGGTCTTACTCATTCTATTTTTTTCTGTTACCCGTTTTCATTGATTGTCAGCTATCAAAAGCATTACCAAGGACCAAAAACTTACAACTGTGTAGTTTAAAGTTTTGCTGCATAAGCCTCAACATAACCAGATAATGGGATTAAAAAAAACCAAAACCCCAATAATGCTTGTAAGTCAAGCACAATGATCCCTGTAGAATAGTATTGAGGAAAAAACATATTTCATGCAACTTTGAAAAGCTTACTTTTTTCCTTTCCAAAACTAGCTCTAGTTCAAGGGTATCTTGTTCCTCTTCTTCCTCACTTTCTCCAGATTGGACAACACTGCAAAGATCCTCCTGAGAAGGGTCTTCTACATTGTCCAACATAATTTCCTGTGGCTTTACTATTGTCGTTGCTTCTTCTACTGTTGTACTTATTTCTTTTACTTCTGAAACTGGCTCTTCTTTACAAATTACTTTTCTTCTCCATCTCTCTTCTTCTTCTTTTATTCCCTCAGGCAATAAAGGAGCAAGTAGTGACGCTGCCACCCCTTTCTTCTCCTCTTCACTATTGGAGAGAGCCTGAATTCCTTCATTTACTTCCTATAAAGAACAAAATAATTTAGTCTCATTTAACTCTTAAAGAAATCTCACCTGTATATACATTCAATTGTTAATATTAACTGTTTTCAGTAGCTGAATACTGAGTATAAAAACCACTTACACCCGGCCGGGCGCGGTGGCTCAAGCCTGTAATCCCAGCACTTTGGGAGGCCGAGGCGGGTGGATCACGAGGTCGAGAGATCGAGACCATCCTGGTCAACATGGTGAAACCCCGTCTCTACTAAAAATACAAAAAATTAGCTGGGCATGGTGGCGCGTGCCTGTAATCCCAGCTACTCAGGAGGCTGAGGCAGGAGAATTGCCTGAACCCAGGAGGCGGAGGTTGCGGTGAGCCGAGATCCCGCCATTGCACTCCAGCCTGGGTAACAAGAGCGGAACTCCGTCTCAAAAAAAAAAAAAAAAAAAAAAACCACTTACACCCAACAGGTAAGTATACATTTATATCATTACATATTACTTCAGAAAGACACAGATTGAATTAGAGCCTAGCTCTAGGTGGGATCCAAATATATCCTCCCTGCTATTCTCAGGATGTGAAAAGGCAGACTAATATAAACAGATAGATTTAGTATCAGTATTTTGTCAGCTCCTCAGATGACTGGATAAATCTTTTTTTTTTGAGACAGAGTTTCGCTCTTGTTACCCAGGCTGGAGTGCAATGGCGCGATCTCGGCTCACCGCAACCTCCGCCTCCTGGGTTCAGGCAATTCTCCTGCCTCAGCCTCCTGAGTAGCTGGGATTACAGGCACGTGCCACCATGCCCAGCTAATTTTTTGTATTTTTAGTAGAGACGGGGTTTCACCATGTTGACCAGGATGGTCTTGATCTCTCGACCTCGTGATCCACCCGCCTCAGCCTCCCAAAGTGCTGGGATTACAGGCTTGAGCCACCGCGCCCGGCCAACTGGATAAATCTTTACCTTCTTCTGTATGATGAGATTTTTTTTTTTTTTTTTTTTTGAGAGTCTCACTCTGTTGCCCAGGAGTGCAGTTGCGCCATCTCAAGTTACTGCAACTTCTGCCTCCCAGGTTCCAGTGATTCCCGACTCAGCTTCCCAAGTAGCTGAGATTACAGGAATGTGCCAGCACACCCAGATAATTTTTTTTTTTTTTTGAGACGAAGTCTCGCTCTTGTTGCCCAGACTGGAGTGCAATGGCGAGATGTCGGCTCACTGCAACCTCTGCCTCCTGGGTTCAAGTAATTCCCCTGCCTCAGCCTCCTAAGCAGCTGGGATTACAGGTGTGTACCACCACGCCTGGCTAATTTTTTTTGTATTTTTAGTAGAGACAGGGTTTCACCATGTTGGTCAGGCTGCTCTTGAACTCCTGACCTAAGGTGATCTGCCCACTTCAGCCTCTCAAGGTACTGGGATTACAGGCGTAACTACACCTGGCCTGATGAGAAAATGTAGTAGGTATGCCATGAAGGTGATTTAGACTAAAGTGAACTATTCCTGACCTCAAGTGATCCGCCCACCTTGGCTTCCAGAAGTGCTGGGATTACAGGTGTGAGCCACTGTGCCTAGTTTGACTATATTACTTTAAAGTTTTTTTTGGGGGGGAGGGCTTGACGCAGTAGCTCACACCTATAATGTAAGCACTTTGGGAGGCCAAAGCAGGAGCTCAGGAGTTTGAGACCTGTCTGGGAAACATGGTAAGACTTCATCTCTCAAAAATAAAAAAAAAAGTCGGGTATGGTGGCGCATACATGTAGTCCCAGCTACTCAGGAGGCTGAAGCAGGATTGCTTGAGCTCCGAAGAGTAAATCTGCAGTTAGCCATGGCTGATCCACTGTACTCCAGCCTGGGTGACAGAGTCAGATCCCGTCTCAAAAATAAGAAAGTAAAAAGGCCAGGTGCAGTGGCTTGCATCTGGAATCCCAGCTCTTTAGGAGGCTGAGGCAGGTGGCTCACTTGAGGTCAGGAGTTCAAGACCAGCCTGACCAATATGGTGAAACCTCGTCTCTACTAAAAAAAATAGAAAAACTGCTGGACGGTGGCTCACGCCTGTAATCCTAGCACTTTGGAAGACTGAAGCAAATGGACATCTGAGATCAAGAGTTTGGGACCAGGCCGGGCGCGGTGGCTCAAGCCTGTAATCCCAGCACTTTGGGAGGCCGAGGCGGGTGGATCACGAGGTCGAGAGATCGAGACCACCCTGGTCAACATGTTGAAACCCCGTCTCTACTAAAAATACAAAACATTAGCTGGGCATGGTGGCACGTGCCTGTAATCCCAGCTACTCAGGAGGCTGAGGCAGGAGAATTGCCTGAGCCCAGGAGGCGGAGGTTGCAGTGAGCCGAGATTGCGCCATTGCACTCCAGCCTGGGTAACAAGAGCGAAACTCCGTCTCAAAAAAAAAAAAAAAAAAAAAGTTTGGGACCAGCTGGGCCAATATGGTGAAACCCTGTCTCTTATAAAAATACGAAAATTAACTGGGCTTGGTGGCGAGTGCCTATAATCCCAGCTTCTCGGGAGGCTGAGGCAGGAGAATCACTTGAGTTGGGGAGGTGGAGGTTGCAGTGAGCTGAGACAACACCACTGCACTCCAGCCCGGGCAACAGATTCCTGTGCTCAAAGTAACCTTTATTAGATTTGAAAATAAGCAAATGAGGTAAGTTTCAACACTAACCTTTTTAACTTCTCGCTTGGCTATGGCTGGTCCACTTTTACTACTGGAAACAGAAATTGTTTTCTCCTTAGTATATATGTCTGTATTTACCGCAAAACTAGCTTCAGCACCTGGCACAGAACTAAAAAAAACCATATATTTAGAAAGAGAAATACAAGACAAATACTATGAACAAAAGATAAGACTTCTATTTCCTTCTAGGCAATTTCTTATAATAATTTACCTGGGCTGGTAATGTTGTAATCCTTGTACCTGGGTGGCAAGATATTGGGGTAACTCCCAAGTCACTTCATTTGTTTGTGTATTCCAGTAATAATAGCATCCTGTGTTCTCATCCCAGACTTCCTGCCAATCTCCCATCTCAATTCCGACTAGAAGAAAATCAAACAAATTTTAATTAAGCACAAATCCCTCTACAATTCTGGCTTACATATAGGCTCAAAAGCCACAAGCACCTAACAGTTTCTCAAAACTTAGCTCTGTTAACATTTTGGGCTGACAGGTCTTTTTTGTCAGGGGGTGGAGGGCGCCAATCTTATGTAGAGGATTTAGAAGTACCCCTGGCCTCTGCCCACTACAAACAGTAGCACTCCCATTCACCCTGCCTCCTACATGTGACAATAAAAACCACTGACAGACATTGTCAAATGTTCTCTAGAAGAACCCCTCAATCCCAGTTGAGAACCACTGGTCTAACACCAAGAATTATGTTCTCAATACCTAACATTTAGAGTCACCTTTGCACACATAGTTTTTTTAAAAAGCAGTTTGCGGCCGGGTGTGGTGGCTCACGCCTGTAATCCAAGCACTTTGGAGGCCAAGGCGGGTGGATCACCTGAGGTTGGGAGTTCAAGACCAGCCTGACTACATGGTGAAACTCCGACTTTAAAAAAATAAATAAAAATAAAAATAAAAAGTAAAAAAGCAGTTTGCTTTTTAAAAATGTACCTAAAATACTTTGAATATCATGGCTTTTCTTATTCACCTGGCATAATCCACTACTGGTTAAAAGGACAAGCAATTGGCCGAGCGCAGTGGCTCACGACTGTAATCCCAGCACTTTGGGAGGCTGAGGCGGGCAGATCACAAGGTCAAGAATCGAGACCATCCTGGCCAACATGGTGAAACCCCGTCTCTACTAAAAATACAAAAAGCAGCTGGGCGTGGTGGCATGTGCCTGTAGTCCCAGCTACTCAGGAGGCTGGGGCAAGAGAACTGCTTGAACCCAGGAGGCGGAGGTTGCAGTGAGCCGAGATCGTGCCATTGCACTCCAGCCTGGGTAACAAGAGCGAAACTCCGTCTCAAAAAAAAAAAAAAAAAATTACACCCTGCAAGTTTTCAGAGCCTACTATCCTACCCACTGTCTTTGACATACTGTATTTAAAAAGACAGAGGCCTGGTGCAGTGGCTCAGGCCTGTAATCCCAGTACTTTGGGAGGCCAGGGCAGGTGGATCACCTGAGGTCAGTCAGGAGTTGGAGACCAGCCTGACCAAAACAGTGAAACCTCGCCTCTACTAAAAAAGCAAAAATGAGCCAGGCGTGGTGGTGCACTCCTGTAATCACAGCTACTAGGGAGGCTGAGGCAGGTGAAATCACCTGAACCTGGGAGGCAGAAATTGCAGTGAGCTGAGATCGCACCATTGCACTCCAGGCTGGGCAACAAGAGCAAAACTCTGTCTCCAAAAAAATAAAAAGACAGAATTCTAAAGTCTAAGCTTAAAGCTTCTAGGCTTTCATCTTTAGAAAAGTGAATCCCTAGAATCCCTTTAAAGACTGCACTTTAGCCGGGTACGGTGGCTGAAGCCTGTAATCCCAGCACTTTGGGAGGCCGAGGCGGGTGGATTGCGAGGTCGAGAGATCGAGACCATCCTGGTCAACATGGTGAAACCCCGTCTCTACTAAAAATACAAAAAGTTAGCTGGGCATGGTGGTGCGTGCCTGTAATCCCAGCTACTCAGGAGGCTGAGGCAGGAGAATTGCCTGAACCCAGGAGGCGGAGGTTGCAGTGAGCTGAGATCGCACCATTGCACTCCAGCCTGGGTAACAAGAGCAAAACTCTGTCTCAAAAAAAAAACAAAAAACTGCACTTTAGATTTCTTTAAAAATCGAAGGATCAAGTTTACCTCCTGCCAGTGAACACTGAGTATCATATTGCCATCCAGATGTTTGGGTGGAGTCTGTTCCATTTGAAGTAGAGGAAGAAAGCGCAGATGTTGCTGCTTCCTTTGGCTCTGGTCGAGGTGGAGTTGGAGGTGGAGCAGAAGCTCCTACAGGAGCTGCAGGCTGAGGAGCTGTTATGGCATCGATCTCCTTCAGAATCAAAAGAGTAACAAATGCAGTGACTATATCAAAAACAAGAAAATTAAGAAAATGGCAATTACTTTTTAAAAGATCTACACATGGGCCAGGCACAGTGGCCCTGGTGCTTTGGGAGGCCAGCTGGGCGGATCACAAGGTCAGGAGATCAAGACCATCTTGGCTAACGCAGTGAAACTCCATGTCTACTAAAAATACAAAAAAATAGCTGGGTGTGGTGGCACATGCCTATAATCCCAGCTACACAGGAGGCTGAGGCAGGAGAATTGCTTGAACTTGGAGATGGAGGTTGCAGTGAGCCAAGTTCACACCACTGCACTCCAGCCTGGATAACAGAGAAAGACTGTCTTAAAAAAAAAAAAAAAATCCACACATAGACCAGGCCCAGTCCGATAGCCCCAGCACGTTGGGAGGCTGAAGTAGGTGGATCACTTGAGGTCAGGAATTCAAGACCAGCCTGACCAACATGGTCAAACCCCACTTCTATTAAAAATACAAAAATTACGGGCCAGGCGTGGTGTTTCACCGGGCACGGTGGCACATGCCTTTAATCCCAGCTACTCAAGAGGCTGAGGTGAAAGAATTGCTTGAACCCGGGTGGCAGAGGTTGCAGTGGGCCAACATCATGCCAGCACACTCCAGCCTGGGTGACAGTGAGACCCTGTCTAAAAGGAGAAAGAAGAAAATTTCTACACACTCATTCTAAGCTCCTTAAATCAAAACCCTCATCCTCTAATCATATGAGCTTCCCAGTCTCTTCCAATTCTCCTTTCTTCTCCTTGAAAGCTTTACAAAGAGAAGAGAGGTGGTGGCTCACGCCTATAATCCCAACACTTTCGGAGGCCAAGGTAGGTGGATCATGTGAATTCAGGAGTTCGAGACCATCCTAGTCAACATGGCAAAATCCCATCACTACTAAAAATACTAAAATTAGCTGGGCATGGTGGCGCATCATGCCTGTAATCCCAGCTACTCAGGAGGCTGAGGTAGGACAATCAATCACTTGAACCCAGGAGGTAGAAGTTGCAGTGAGCTGAGATTGTACCACTGCACTCTAGCCTGGGAAACAGAGTAAGACTTCACCTTGGAGAGAGAGAGCAGAGACAACCAGATGTGGTGGCTCAAACCTGTAATTCCAGCACTATGCAAGGTCAAGTTGGGAGGATGACTTGAACCCAGAGGTTCAAGACCAGCCTGGGCAACACAGTGAGACTCCATCTCTCTTTTTTTTTGAGACAGAGTTTCGCTCTTGTTACCCAAGCTGGAGTGTAAAGGCACGATCTCGGCTCACTGCAACCTCCACCTCCTGGGTTCAAGCGATTCTCCTGCCTCAGCCTTCTGAGTAGATGAAATTACAGGTATGCGCCACCAAACTCTGCTATTTTTTTGTATTTTTAGTAGAAATGGGGTTTCACCATGTTAGCCAGGATGGTCTCCTGACCTCAGGTGATCCGCTCACCTCAGCCTACCAAAGTGCTGGGATTACAGGCGTGAGCCACTGAGCCTGGCTGATCCTGTCTCTTTAAATTACACACACACACACACACACACACACACACACACACACACGAAAGTGAGATGGGGAGAAATAGAAGAGAGTTGGAGGGAGAGGGTGAAAGGAGGTGAACAACATTGAATTGACAAATGGGATGACCATTTGAGATCCTGGTCCCAAAGTAGCTTCAATAACTAAAACCCCAAACCAAAGCACCACTAACCGCTAGGAAGTTGGCTAATGTACTATCAATATCAGTCGACTGGTTTCCATTTGTCTCTTTGGATTGTGCAGGCTTTTCAGAAACATCATTGTCGTCATCATCACTGTCAGCATAAGCACCAAGTAAGCATAGACCGCCTAGAAACAAAAGGAAAACAGTATTTGTAACAACATTGGCAATACGTCCTAGGAGTATCTAAGCGAAAGTGTAACATGTTTTCTTTTTAACTTACTTACAAATTAGAACATAATCCCAAAACTCATAATCACTGAACTATCGCAGAACTATAAATTACATCGCATGCTTAAAGCTAATAAAACCCATCTATAGCCGGGGGTGGTGGCTCATGCCTATACTCCTGGCACTTTAGGAGGCTGAGGCAGGCAGATTGCCCAAGCTCAGGAGTTCAAGACCAGCCTAGGCAACATGGTGAAACCCCATCTCCACTAAGAATACAAAAAAATTAGCTGGGCGTGGCAATGTGTGCCTATAGTCTCAGCTACTGGGGAGGCCGAGGGAGAAGAACTCCTTAACTGGGAGGCAAGGTTGCAGTGAGCCAAGACTGTGCCACTGTACTCCAGCCCAGGCAACAGAACGAGACTCCATCTCCAAAGAAATTTAAAAAACTTGATCTACGGGTCATGCAGCACAGTTTATGTCTACAGTCTCAACTTCTTGGGTAGATTCTGAGGCAACAAGATCATTTGAGCCCAGGAGTTCGAGACCAGTCTTGAAAACATGATGAGACCTTGTCTCTCCAAAACAAAACAAAAATAAACACAAAAGAAGAGGGCCGGGCGCGGTGGCTCAAGCCTGTAATCCCAGCACTTTGGGAGGCCGAGGTGGGTGGATCACGAGGTCGAGAGATCAAGACCATCCTGGTCAACATGGTGAAACCCCATCTCTACTAAAAATACAAAAAATTAGCTGGGCATGGTGGCACGTGCCTGTAATCCCAGCTACTCAGGAGGCTGAGGCAGGAGAATTGCCTGAACCCAGGAGGCGGAGGTTGCGGTGAGCCGAGATCGCGCCATTGCACTCCAGCCTGGGTAACAAGAGCAAAACTCCGTCTCAAAAAAAAAAAAAAAAAAAGACGAGCCAGGCGCGGTGGCTCAAGCCTGTAATCCCAGCACTTTGGGAGGATGAGGCGGGTGGATCACGAGGTCAAGAGATCGAGACCATCCTGGTCAACATGGTGAAACCCTGTCTCTACTAAAAATACAAAAAATTAGCTGCGCGTGGTGGTGCATGCCTGTAATCACAGCTACTCAGGAGGCTGAGGCAGGAGAATTGCCTGAACCCGGGAGGCGGAGGTTGCGGTGAGCCAAGATTGCGCCATTGCACTCCAGCCTGGGTAACAAGAGCGAAACTCCATCTTAAAAAAAAAAAAAAAAAAAAAAAAAGGAGAGGAAGAATAAAAAATTAGCTGGGCGTGGGGCTGAGGTGGGAGAATAGCTTGAGCCTAGAAGGTTGAGGCTACACTGAGCAGGAACATCTCCACTGCACTCCAACCAGGGTGACAAAGTGAGACTGACCATGTCTCCAAAAAACAACAACAAAAAGAACAAGAGAACAAGAAAATTAATCCACAGTTATTTCAATTATTCAATCTCACTCTCTCTTCCCAAATAGCATGTACTATATCCTGATTTTAGAATTTAGTGATTAAAGTGTTTACCTCAAAGTAAGCAAATTACAGTGTAACAGTTCAAACAAGGCCGGGCGCGGTGGCTCAAGCCTGTAATCCCAGCACTTTGGGAGGCCGAGGCGGGTGGATCACGAGGTCGAAAGATCGAGACCATCCTGGTCAACATGGTGAAACCCCGTCTCTACTAAAAATACAAAAAATTAGCTGGGCATGGTGGCGCGTGCCTGTAATCCCAGCTACTCAGGAGGCTGAGGCAGGAGAATTGCCTGAGCCCAGGAGGCGGAGGTTGCGGTGAGCCGAGATCGCGCCATTGCACTCCAGCCTGGGTAACAAGAGTGAAACTCCGTCTCAAAAAAAAAAAAAAAAAACAGTTCAAACAAAAAGACTTTACAAAACAAAACAAATTAAAAAAAAGAGAAAGACTTTCAAAGTTAAAAACAAAGCCTTGTGGTAGGACATGGTGGATCACACGCGTAATCCCAGCACTTCGGGAGGCCAAGGCAGGTGGATCACCTGAGGTCAGGAGTTCAAGACCAACCTGACCAACATGAAGAAACCCCATCTCTGCTAAAAATACAAAAAATTAGCCAGGCATGGTGGCGCATGCCTGAGTCCCAGCTACTCAGGAGGCCGAGGCAGGAGAATCGCTTGAATCTGGGAGGTAGAGGTTGCAGTGAGCCGAGGTTGTGCCATTGCACTCCAGCCTGGGCAATAAGCGAAACTCTGTCTCAAAAAAAAAAAAAAAAAAAAAAAAAGAAGCTGCTGGGAGTTGCTTGGAGGTTGGTGGCGCAAGACTGAAGGCTAGCAGACAGAGCAATCATGTCACACAAACAAATTTACTATTCGGACAAATACGACAACAAGGATTTTGAGTACTGGCATGTCATGCTGCCCAAGGACATAGCCAAGCTAGTCCCTAAAACCCATTTGATGTCTGAATCCAAATGGAGGAATCTTGGTGTTCAACAGTCAGGGTTGGGTCCATCATATAATCCATGAACCAGAACCTTACATCTTACCGTTCTGGCACCCACTACCCAAGAAGACAAAGAAATGAAGCTGGCAAGCCATTTTTCAGCCTCAAGCGTTACACAGCTGTCCTTACTTCCTAACATCTTTCTGATGGCGTTGTGTTGTCTTCTTGTTTTTCACTTTGATATTTAAAAGATGTTCAATACACTCTGTGAATGTGCTGGTAACTGCTTTGCTTCTTTTTTTTTTTTTTTTTTTTTTTTTTGAGACGGAGTTTCGCTCTTGTTACCCAGGCTGGAGTGCAATGGCGCGATCTCGGCTCACCGCAACCTCCGCCTCCTGGGTTCAGGCAATTCTCCTGCCTCAGCCTCCTGAGTAGCTGGGATTACAGGCACACGCCACCATGCCCAGCTAATTTTTTGTATTTTTAGTAGAGACGGGGTTTCATCATGTTGACCAGGATGGTCTTGATCTCTCGACCTTGTGATCCACCCGCCTCGGCCTCCCAAAGTGCTGGGATTACAGGCTTGAGCCACCGCGCCCGGCCTTGCTTTGCTTCTTGAGTAGAGCCACCACCACCACGGCCCAGCCTGATGAGTGCTCTGTGGACCCAGAGCCTCAGCTGAGTGTGACCCCAGAAGCCACAGTGTGCTGTGTATCCAGAGCACACTTGGCAGATGGAGGAAGCATCTGAGATTAAGACCATGGCTGTTACAGGGATCGTGTAAACCTGTTTTTGTTTTTTTCTGCCAGGTGTTGGATGTATGGTGACTTGTGGACTTATGTTTCATCATACTGGAAACTTTCCATTTTATTCAAGAAATCTGTTCATGTTATAAACCTTGATTAAAGAGGAAGTTTTTATAATCTTTAAAAAAAAAAAAAAAAAAAAAGGGCCGGGCATGGTGGCTCAAACCTGCAATCCAAGCACTTTGGAGGCCAAGACAGGCAGATCACCTGAGGCCAGGAGGCAAGACCAGCCCGACCAACATGGTGAAACCCCCATCTTAAAAAAAAAAAAAGAAAAGCTTTTAATTCAACGATTATTCCTGAAACAGGAAGTGGCATGAATTAAAAATGGGGCTCAACATGGCTAAAACCAATTATTAATGTCTTCCTTAAACTCAAGTGGTATCAGGGATGGCCTCTGTGATGCTGCTATGTCATTTCCTTTGGAATCACCTGTGGTAAGATTACAATTAACTAAGCATATGTACCTCTCTATATATGTTATTTTATTATAAATAAATAAAATGTTAAATTCTAGCTAGACTTTTCAGCTATTACTTATACTGAATTTCACAGTGCTGACACATTCTATGCTCTCACTAAAAATTTGGTAAATGAACAGATTTATCAGAAAATAAAATTCGTTTTGTGTCATACATCCCATACACAAACTCAAAGGTTACCTAAAAGTAAACATAAATTGTTTCATTAGTCATGTAAGAGGTTCACATTCATTTAGTATCATAATTCCTCCCTTAATTTTTTTCATTTTGTATGTAGTATGCGGTTAAGTTCTTAACAGCAATTTCTTTTTTTTTTTTTTTGAGATGGAGTATCACCTAGGCTGGAGTTCGGTGGCACAATCTTGGCTCACTGCAACCTCCACCTCCAGGATTCAAGTGATTTTCCTGCCTCTTCCTCTCGAGTAGCTAGGATTACAGGTGTGCACCACCACACTCTGCTCATTTTTGCATTTTTGGTAGAGATGGGAGTATCACCATGTTGGCCTGACTGCTCGTGAACTCCTGGCCGCCCACCTCGGCCTCCCAAAGTGCTGGGATTACAGGCGTGAGCTACCTCATACAGCTTCTAAACACGAATTTCTAAAGTTTGATTTATTTATTTATTTATTTATTTATTTATTTTTATTTTTTTTGAGACGGAGTTTTGCTCGTTACCCAAGCTGGAGTGCAATGGGGCTATCTCGGCTCACCGCAACCTCTGCCTCCTGAGTTCAAGCAATTCTCCTGCCTCGGCCTCCATAGCAGCTGGGACTACAGGCATGCGCCACCATGCCCAGCTAATTTCTTTTGTATTTTTAGTAGAGACGGGGTTTCACCATGTTGACCAGGATGGTCTCGATCTCCTGACCTCGTGATCCACCTGTCTTGGCCTTGCAAAGTACTGGGATTACAGGCGTCAGCCACCGCACCCGGCCAGTTTGATTTATTTATGTTTATATGTGTGCATGTTAAGAGACAGGGTCTTGCTCTATTGTCCAGGCTTAAAGCAGTGGATCACTGTAGTCTCAAACTCCTGGCCTCAAGTGATCCTGTTCCCTCAGCATCCTGAGCAGATGACCAGAGGCACAACCTACCATTCCTAGCTAATTTTTTTTTTTTTTTTTTTTTTTTGCAGAGATGGAATCTCCTGTTGCCCAGGCTGGTCTCAAACTCTTATCCTCATGTGATTCTCCTGCCTTGACCTCTCAAATTGTTAGACAAAATTATTCTTTTTTCTGAGACAGGGTATCACTCTGTCTGGCACGAGTGAAATGGTACGATCACA